ATTTATACGCATTACTGAGGGTAAACAAAGACAGAAAATTTCAGTGTGCCCAAATGATAAGAAACTATAATCTACCAACATGTACATAAAATTAAATAATTTAAGGAGGAAAGGCGGAAAAGATCACTTTCAAGATCTAATATATTAAGGACAATACTGAATACAGATTATTCAAATGAAAGTAGATATAATTTTATTCATTTTACATCGAAATATCAAGTATAATAAACTTCACATATTTAAGTTGCACAATTTGATCATTTTTGACCTATATCTCTATACATGTGCTTAAAACCATCATCACAATTGAGACAGTGGACATTTCAGTGAGACTAGAAAGTTCCCTTATTCCCCTTTGTGATCCATCCTTCTCTCCACTCCCAACCCCAGGCAACCACTGGCCTGCTTTCTATCACCATCAATTGTCTGAATTTTCTAGGACTTTACATACGTGGAACATACCATGTGTCCTCTTTCCGCCTGACCTGTTCTCTACGAATAACGAGTCTAAAATGTATCCATTAGCTGTGAATGTCAACAATCATATCTCTTTCTTGCTTCATCGTGTTTCTTAATGTGCACAGGTCCCAGTTCGTCGATTCGTTTCCCTGTTGATACACAGGCGGCTTGTCTTTAGTTTGGGATATTACAAATAAAGATAAAGTTTAGTTTCTCTTGGGTCCATATAAGAGTGGAATGGTAGGATCTTGTTGGAGGTGTTTGTTGACCTTCTTAAAAACTCTCAGTTTTCTCATGCGATGGTGCATTTTACATTCTTCCCAGTGCTTACATGGGAATTTCAGCCTCTCTCTCTGGATGGTCCTATGTAGCAAAGCTTAAAGAACTCACCGCCTGCAGTCCTTCATTAGGAGAAAGCCAAAGGACGTCCCCTTCAAGCAGGGGGAGGTGGTACAGGACAGAAATAGGGATTTTCATGAACGGATAAAAGAGCTCCAGAAATGGAACAACAGGGGTAAATACAAGGACTTTCATCTCTATTTTGTAAACCTCTTTAGAAGATAATAGACTGCTTAAAGCCAGGAGAATAATGTAATGAGACACATAGTGTACTCGGTGGTAAAATGTATGACAATAGTCGAAAGCTGGGAGAGAAGATACAGAAGTATATTGTTTTAAGGCTCTTAAGTAAACATAAAGTAATATAATATTACTCGAAGTAGGCTGTAATAAATTAAAGATGTACATTATAAATCCTAAAGCAACCAGGAAAATATTATACAAGTGTCGTAGGAAGTGAGCCAACGAAAGAAAAATAATACATGATTTTGATACAGAAAAAGAGAAAATAGGAATAAAGAACAGACAATAAGCAGCAGATGGTTGGTTGAAATCCCGACGTCCCACCCAGAACTGTCAGACAGGGGGGTCACAGAGGCCCCCACAGTCCCGAGAGGCAGTTTTGACAAGAGCCCAGCAGCGAACCAATAGCTGCTTTTCAGAAACAGTGGATCTGGTACCCGGGGAGGCTGCTCGTGTGAAGTTCTCCCACCAGCAGCCCCAACCTCCAGTCGCCAAGTCTGCAGCCCGAAGGGACCATTAAAACTGTGGGGTCCCAGAGGGACAGCCCTTCAGCTTGCTGGGCGGCTTCCAAGCCCCTGGCTTGGAGGCCCATTCCCAGGGTGAGATGTTCTTGTTATCTCAGGTAAACAACCACACAGAGGGTCCCCGGGGAGGCAGGGGTGGCACCCAGCACTCAAAGGGCTGGGCCGCTAAAGGCTTGCCTTCCTTTTGGTGCCAGAGGCAGCAAAACGTGTCCTTTCCACCTGATGCCCAGAGGGGCTGTCACAAGTCGACCCACACAGTCCTGAGAAGCTTTGTCCACAGAGGAAGCTCTGAACTGTTGGGGAGTTTACAAGCCTCCCCTGCAAGCAGAGGTGTGCTGCCCGCAAAGTCCGGGGTGTGGTGACTGGGGCTTCCCACTTGCTGTGAGAACAACACATTGCCGGTGTACGGGCAACCGCTGGAGGACAGAGGCACTCCCGTGTCCTCTGACACGCCCACTGAGGGTGAGCGGCAGGGGAGTGTGTCCCCAGCATCGTGTCCTCACAGCGCCCCCATCCTGACCTGGGAGGTCAGGAGACTCCCTGGCTCACACAGGACAGAGAACACGGAACAGAGAAGCAGGACCAGGTGGAACGTCAACTGGTTCCGCATCGTTGCTTAGAAGCAATGACAGGGCGTGGACTTGCCGAATGCCCCACCGCCTCCCACACAGGTCACCGTTGCTGCCTTTCCCCGCCGTGAACCCTGTTCGATCTCATCAGTTCAGTTTGGAGGAACCGTCTGCAAGGGGAGGAATAGGATTGTGAGTTGGCGCCCCGTATATCCAACAGAACTACAGAAATGTTGCCGTCCACATGGTTCCCAGCATGCACATGGCTTTGAGCTTCTTGGCAACTTAGTCTTTTAATTGGAGAAGTTAATTAATTTACTTTTAATATAAGTGCTGACATATTTAGGTTCCTATCAACTCTACCACTATTTGTTTTTAATTGAACCCATCTGCGTTTTGCTTCCTATTATTTCATGCCTTTTTGTAACAAAGTATTGTATTACGATTGCATTTTGCTCTATTAAATTGTTAAACTTACTTTTACTACTCTTTTTGCAATGAGCATAATAAATACATGCATTTTCAACACATTACAATCTAACAAAAATCACTGCTTTTACCACTTCCCCTTATTATGCTAGAAACTCAGAACCCTTTAATTCTATTTATTCCCTCTCAACTTTTGGTAAAATTATTGTCATGCATTTTAAAGCTAAATTGTTTTTTTTTTAAACTCAAGGCTACTGTTATTGTTTCATTTTCAGTCAATATTCATTTACATACCTGTGTATGTTAAAAGTGTATTTCGTCATCAGCATAGATACATGGAACAGACTAACTGCTGTCAGAGGGAACGGGGTGGGGTGGGGGGAGGGGGGAGGGGACTGCGTGCAAGAAATGGAAGGGATGAGCCAAACCCATGTCTTCATAACACAGACACAGTCTATGGTTCGGTGGCGGCCACAGGGGAAGGATGTTGGGCTGGGAGGAAGGGGCGAAGGGGGGAAGTGGGGACCGAAAGAGACCTCGACTGGGGCAGAGGGTGCGTGATGCGGTGTGCAGATGACGCTTTGTTGAGTCGTACACTGGAAACCTGCGTGGGTTTACCAACCAACGTCACCCCAGTCAATTCAATGAAAAATGTGTTTCACCTTCATTACATTTCTATTTTTCCTGCTTGGATAGATTTTTTCCTACCCGATGAACACCACATAGTGTTTCTTTTGATGATCTCAGTATCTTACTCTAAAAAAAATGTGCATTTTAATTCCATTCTGGAGGAGCCAGTGCTGAGTAGTGGGCTCCGTGTTGGCCTACGGTCTGTCAGCCTGTGAATATGCCATGGGACCCTCTCAGGGCCCCCACAGCCCCTCTGGGGGGCCAGCTGGCTGTCTCATTGTTGTTCCTGAAGAGGTCGTTTGCTCTTCCTCAGGCTGTTCAGCAGTTCTCACAGTCTTTGCTCGTCTGTGGACTTCCTAGGATGTGGGATTTCTCTATTCATCTTGCCTCGGTGGCACAACTTTTTCATCCTGTTTGACATTTTGCATTAGTTATTCGTAAATTCTCGTCACTACCTCTTAACATACTGCCTCTGACTTATTTTTTCCTTCTGTCCTTTCAGGGACCCAGTGACGTGTATGAGACCTTTCATGTGTCTCAAAACCTCCTACAACTGTCTCATTTTTCATGTTATATCTAGCGTTGGGTCTGCAGCATCCTGCTATACTCTTTGCTGTCCCCTAAAGGCACAGCTGGACCCATGGGGCAAAGGGGAGACCTGGCATCGCCACGCAGAGTGCAGAAGGCGGGTGTTGAAATGGAGAGAAAGAGCAAAATGAAGAGAACAAAGACCTTACCTATGTTACCCAGTGAGACCTGGAGCACCCAGTGTTTATTAACACTGTACGGCTTTATTTTCATGGAGGATACTATTAATATAGTTAAATGTGGACAAAATAAAATGTATTTGAAATTGCGTGTCCTAAATTTCAAGTGGCTATGTATTCTCTTTGGAAAAACTGAGGAAGGAAAAAGGGAAAGCCAAAGTAGGTTTAGCCTATAATAAAAGTTGTTTGTGAGCGCATGTATCCTGTATGTTTTGAGACAGTCTCAGTTTCAAAACATGAAGTTTTTTTGCAAATATATATGTATTCACAGTTTAGAGTATGTACAGTATGTGTGTGTATGTCAAGTGATGTTAATATATATATATCTAAAAAAAGTAGCATCGTTTAGATTGAGATTTTGGATCGAGAAAAAGTAGACTACTTTAACTGAGACTGTAACTTAAATTTTCTCTGGACTCTGGCACAGACTCTTAAAAAGTGAGCCATAGCTTATCCTGGAGAGAAGTGGGGATGACATTTGGCTGGTGCAGAAATATATTTGGTTACACTCCACCCCATTCTGGAAGAACAAAAGAGTGTTTGAGCAAATAGTATAAATGAACTAAAAACATAACCCCAGTTGTTATAGGCAACCCTCTCCTTCCAAGGGGAAGAAAGGATAAGGATAAGAAACATATGGAAAAGAGACACTTGATCTAGAAGTATGCACAAGAGAAATCTAAGAATAATACGAACACACATGCTCTATGCAACTAATCAAGCAAATTACCAGCCAGAATAGCTCAGTGTCCCTCCATGAATTCTCATTTACTTCTGAGAGAAGTTTCTGTAGACCCATTGACCTTCCAGCTGGCACTGAACTAGTAGCAAACAAACCGTTAGGAACAAAGGGTAAGAAGAGTAATTCTGAGTAATTCCAGAATGCTAATCACTCTTCTTCAGTTCCACCTAAAAACTCTCGCCTGTAAAAGAAAAGAAAACTGTTTTGTTGACTTGTAGACTCTGTGCTGGCACTCATCACAGAAATATATTGTACACAGTTTTTTTGGTCTATTTAGTTAGTTGATTTACTTATTTTTTCATACTGAGTCTGTATAGCAGCTTATCTCACGGAAGACAGAGGACTGAAATGGGTTAGACTTTGTTGCTAGAGTAAGCTCAAGCTGTGTAAAACAGTTTTGACCATCCACCACAAATTTTTTGGCTTTAATTAGTCCCACTCCACAGAATCTGAGATTAAAGTTGTATGCTTATGGAGTTTAAGTGTATATTTTGGTAAATTCCCAATTTCCCCATTATTGGATTCAATTACAAGTAGCCACTGATACTCTGCTTCTCCTGCTGCTTCACCCTCTTAGGTAATTGCTTTAGCAGCAAGGTTTTGCCTTGTTTTGCTTGATTTTTCTTTTGTTTGGCTTTCCTTTTATGTCAGAAACACTGGGAAAGCCAGACTCAGGTCCATGACGTCAAAGCTAACTGAGACTGTTTTCACGATCCTATAAACTCCTATGTGATTATTCCACCATTTGAAAAGCAAAGCCTTGTAAGACTGAAGAAGGAACCTTGGGAAGGGTTAATGGGTTGTCAGGTAACAAAGCAGGCAATATACAAATGGGAGAAAGAGAGACAGAAATTCTCATTATTTAGGAGAAAAATGGGATCAGTAAAACAGCAGGAAAACCTACAAACAAGGAAACTAAAAATAAGACTGTGTACCCCGCTGGGTATGACCACATTGCATTTCCCTGGAGTTTGGAGAGCTGAAAAAGCAGAGCTATTTTTCTGTTCATTACTGGCCTCTGACTTGTATAATCGCATGTTGCATGATGATCTATTCATTGAAAATTGCAACTTTTTTGTGGCCTAGAATTATCAAGTTTTGTAAATGGTTTTTGAGAGTTAGAGGAAAGAAAACATATACCCTGCATTTTGCCATGTATAATAGGCACTTTTTTGCCCAAATTTTTGAGGGAAAAATAAGGATATGTATTGCACATGGATATAATGATTACATACCATGGGTATAATTCTATGTATAATGCACACAAAACATGGATACATATTACCTATGTCCAAATACAGTATGTAAAAATATTATAGGGTGCAGAACTCTATATATTCAGCGGGTCACTGTTTTTGTTATAGTTTTTTGTCTATTTGCCTGTCAATAACTATTTAGGAAAATGTTTTAATTATAATCTTTTAAGAACTTCCTCTTACAGTTTTCTCAATTTTTGCCTCATATTTTAGGCTGTTTGAGATGCAGTCTTTAGCATCGCCATCCCTCTTCGTCAGTAGGATGTGCTCCCATTAGGCACCCAGCCTCTCCACTCCTCTCGTTTTCCCTGCTGTTTCTTTATTTTATCTGGCTTTAACACATTACACGAACTTTCTTTCTGTGAGTATTTTCCTGACATGTCTTTTCACATTCTTTGCATTCACTTTTTCAGCACTTTATGCTTTTGCTGTCTTCTTGTAAACAAGAACTCATGTTTGGAACTTGTAAAATCCGAACTCTCCATCCCTGTTAGCTAGTGAGGGTGGTCCCTGCAGTTTTATTGTAAGGATGAGTATATTTGCACATGTGTCTGCCATCTTTCACATTTAAGCATCTCCTGGGTTTTTCTTTCCCCTCATTTAGGTGACTTTATCCATAACTGTATTCAATGTTGGTCTTTGTGTGGCAAAGCCTCTCAGGCCTTGAGTGTCTAGAAGTAATTTCCAGTAAATTATTTAATAATGATGATAAATGATGGGTAGCTTGGCTGACTGTAAACTTCTAGGCTCTAATTTAACTTCCTCTAATACTCGAAAACACAAATCCATAGTCACTTTACATCAATAGTTGTTGAAAAAACTACAAATGTAAAAGCTATAGTTTAGCTTTTTAACATAGCATGTTATTAAGCTAAAATTTGGTCTGTGTAAACAACACAGTTCCTTTGTATGCTTTTAGATTCGAATATGACCTGATATTCTTCACGTTTGCTATTGTTTGACTAGATGTTTGGTTTTTGCTTTATTTTTCTTTATTTCTCCACTTGGGCACTCTATGGGGCCTTCTGCTCTGAATCATCTAATTTCTTTTCCTTTTAATTCTGGAGAATGTATTCCCATTATTTGTTATATATGTTGCTTCTGAAATATCATTTTGCTTTCTTTGTGGACTCCTCATTAGATCTTAGAACTTACACTCTAATTCTACACGCCAGATTTTCTGTTATATGTTCTATTTTTCCCTTGTTCTTCCATTCCTCTGGGAGTTTTCCTGATCCTTTAATTCATTCTTCTGCTCGCTTTAAATCATGTACTGTTTAGCTCACTTAAACTCTTGTGGTTTTTACTTCATATCAGTACTCTTCATTTTTCTCCTACATTCTATTCTTATTTCACATTTATGCCTTCCCTGTCCCTCTTACTATGTTTATAACACTAATTGTGCCTTCTTGGTCTTCTCTTGTCATCTCTCTGGTCAGATGGGGTCTACCACACACTGTGATGTGTCCCATTTGAAAGAGTTGTGTTTCTCAAGTGTCTGGGCACGTTGGTGCCTGCTCACCTGCGGGGCACTGGCTGCTGGACAAGGCTGGGTGTGGAAGGAGCAGACACAGCCCGTCATTCTTCACTAGCTCAGGAGGTGTGCGGGGTGAAGCCACAGGTTCTGAGCTCCAGGCACCTGACACCATGGGCAGTAACCCCAACTCTGAAGAACAATTCCTTGGGTTCTGATCTCCTCTGAGGCAGAAGCAGCATTAGTCGGAGACACTCATAGACCATAAGTCATTCTCTCTGTGATGAGCTGGGGGATAGGGGAAAGGAGAGTGACAACCTGATGTGAATTTGTCTCCGTGGATTTCTCTGGTGCTCTCAAGGACAGAGCTCCTACCCTGCACTGATTGTACTGATGCCCAAGCCAGCGGAGCAAGTTACTACAGGGTGAGCAGGGGGCTCTTGTCCACAGGCCCAGGGCCCCGGCTTCAAGGGTCCTTTCTTTTATGTTCCTTCTCCCAGCCACACCACGTGGTCTACTCCTCCAGGCCAGATCCGCCACGCCTTCCTTTCAAAAGACTAGTGCCAGTCACTCGGAGGGGATTCCTGCTGAAATTTTCAGGGTGTTTATAGTTGTTTTACTTTTTTCCTATCAGTTCAATAAATCTAACATTTTCCTTGCATATGGAGATAGAATGACATGTAGATAAAATGATAACAATATAAAGCCCAATTTTATTCTCATGAACTGGACATTTTTCTCATACATTGTCAAGCATATTAACTGGTGTTAATACTATTTTGAAAAAAGCACCGTTTCCCCCAATTTACTTTGAAACCAGTTTCCTGTGCCTCACGGGAAAGCACTACGTACTGTGTGCACGGCTGGACCAGATGGAGGGCTGTGGGTGGCAGACGGAGGGAGGAGAAGTTGGCTCATGGAGGGAGGGAGCAGTATCCTTTCACTGGCTGATACTGTTTTCTTACCTTTTCCTATTAGCATCAGCTATTTATTACGATATATGGGGGAGATGCATAAAAGACCAAGGGAGGAATCAGCCATCTTTATTCTCACCCAAGTTAGTAGCTTTATTAAGAGTTTGCGCATACCGCCTAGGAAATGCATCTGCTTTTTTTTAAGCATGCTTATCAATTGGGTTTAATAAGTTGGATTTTATTGTGTACATATTTTAGTAACTAGATTTAATAATTAATATACTGTGAAAATAAGTATCATTATACATTCTTCTCTAAATTAAGGTAATTTTATAGCTGCATAGTAGCCCATTATGTCGATAAACAAAGGTTCATTAATTTCGTGATGGATATTGGAGATGTTTCCAATAGTTTGCCATTACACACGTCACTGATCAGCCACCTTTTTAATATAAATTTGTTTGCATATTTTTGTTGTTTATTGAGCATGTATTCCTAAAGACTGCAAGGCTGGGTGCTGGATGAAATGTTTTAAATTTCCACGCCCCCCTCTTGAGATGTTACATACATAGCAAAATGCATGTAGGTCAAGTGCATGGCTCACAGAATTGTTCTCTGTGTATCCTATGTAACCAGCACACTTCGGAAGATGTGGAACATTCCCAGGGGAGTCAGTTTTTAATGGCTATTGACGTATATCGAGAAAATATATCAATTTAAATTTTCTTTGTGTCTTTTTTCCCTTTGGCACCCTTTCCAACATTAGTTCTTTTTTGCCCCAAACTTACAATTTGGGTACACAAATTGGCAGATAATTATTATTGTTATTGCTTGTATATCAATTGCCCTTCAAAGCTATCAAAGTTAGCTTGTAGAAAGAAAAACTAATTGTGTGCTTTATCATACAATTTTGTTTTGATAGATTTTATTATAATCAACCCAAAACGATTGAATCCTCTCAGTGTGAAAAAAATGACTCGAAATTCTGGAACTCTCTTAGTAAAAATCAAATGAAATCATTTTTTGGCATTGAAATTTTTCAATATGAAAAAACTAACAACTCCTATCTTTCTGTAATTCTTAAAATTTCACGCTAGTTTTACACGTCACTCACAACTATTTGTGACTAATAGTCTGTCATTCTTTCACGAGGGCTAAAAAAAAAAGAGCCGCAGCCGGGCCAACACTTGAAAGCCCAGGACTACATCATCGCCAAGAATTCAACACGGTCACGTCCATGAGGCAAAGTTCACTCCCACCCCCGATGTGAGAAGTCTGAAGAGCAGGATGAATGGTTGTGGAAACAAAGACGTATGCACTTGACCCTATGGGCAAAGAGTGGATGCATTAAGAAGTTAAAAACCAGCACATGTGTTAAAACCCAAGCTAGTGATAGGATGAGATCAAATCACAAATACGTGTGCTCAGCCGAGTAAAATTTGCAAAGAATACTCAGCCATGAAAAGGCTCATCTAAATGACAGTTCACAGAAGAACCCCAAGAATACTTGCTTAATGAAGATTTTAGAAGGAAAGATGAGAACAGAATGTCTGCCAAAGGCAATCGGAAGTCTGAAGACCTTATCCATCCCATGTAATCGAGATTCCCAGCCTGGACGTTTCTCTCTTCTATTTACATAAGAAAAGAAATGAAAAGAGTGCTTTGGGTGCCTGCAGCATGTCCCCAGGCACTTTTCTCTCAGGTCCTTTTGTTCCTCAGTGTGAACCGGAAGCCGTCCTTGACCTTGTTCGCTGAGGGAGAGCTGATGTCTACTGGAGTTAA